TTCGGGGGTTTTCCCCCGTGCCCAAACGCTGTGCAAGCAAGCAAGCAAGAGAGAGCGTCCGTAGCCATTTTGGCTCAAGTCGACCTGCCGCTCTCTCCTTGTGGGGGGGCGCTTGAGGACGGCCCTCCGAGGCTGCTGGCTGTCCCCAGCAACCTTGGAGGGTGGACGTTCCTTTCAAGCGAGGGGAGGCTTGAGCCACATACCTGCTGCCACTTTGCTTCAGAGGCCCTGTGGGGGGAGAGGTCCCTAGCCGTGCGCCATATCCGTGAGGGTAAAGATCGAACACTACGACCTTGAGGGGGACTCCGTGACTGCAAGAACTTCATCCTCAGCACGCTTGCCGGGGAGAGCACGTTCCACTACTTTCAACTCCGATTTGCAATTGCGCCGACCGCCCGCTACCTGACACTGGGTGGGGGAGACCTTCAACTACCAGGACGTGATTTTGGCAGGAAGGACAAGATAGTGAAGATCAACCTACGGGGGGATGGCGAAAGAATGCAAGCTATGTAAGTATGGGGATGGTACATGCACCACAGGTTTTCGTAAACAACACGAGCGTGCAGACCCAAACTGCCGGTTACATGGGGTGACGGATAGAGGGAACAGCAGACCTCGACAGTCGTCAGAAGCCGCGCCGAGTAATCGGCCACCCCCCCCAGAGGGGGGAGCTGCAACCTCCTCTTTGCGGCCGCTGTCGGAGATGACCAGTTCCGGACGAGGCAGGGGAACCTGATGCTGTACGCGCCTCAAACCATGGACAGCTGGATTGGGAAAGAGGTCCTTGAAGACGAGAGTGACGGGGGATACAGAGATGCCGCCACAGGGAAACCACTTTCCAAGAAGCTAGCCACGTCGTACATGGCCTTCTGCAAAAGGCACTCCAGACGCTGCCATACGGGGGACATGGTGGATAAGTACCTCCGTTTGGTGGACAAATACCAACCGAGAGTGTTTGCTGAAGCACGCATCTACGTGGCACGGTTTCCAGAACAGGCGGGGGACTTGCTCAAGCAGATCAAGAAGGTCCGCAAGCAGATCCGCAAATCGCGGAGGAGAAGGAAACAGCAAAGACTCAAAACCCCCAGCAGCTCGGGGGAAGCTGCTACACCAGAGGTGGCTCAGTGTGCTCCACCAGGCGGGGGAGCAAACCGTGAAGATGCTCATGGTGAAGAGCCAACACCAACGCCAAAGACCGAGCATGCGAAAAAGGAGAGCGACGCAGACGCAGCAAGTGAGAGAAGGGGGACCGTGGACACTGACACGCCACCTGACTGGGGAGATAGCTCTGGTGACGATGCCGAACCGTCGTATGATTGGCCTTGGGGGGATGCCGGTCGCCCCTCCGACCGGGGAAACAGCCCGAGCCACCTTGCACTTCGACCGAGTGAACCAAGTGAAAGGCCGTCACCACAAGCCCACCAACCGGACAGCCACGCCACAGAAAGGGGGCGTATCCACTTGGTTCCCAACGTGCAGTGGCGGGGAGTGCAGCTGACACAAGAGCACATGGCAAAAGCTCGGAACGTGATGCCTTTAGAAGCCTGCTCCTCATGGGGGACTTGTCCCTCTGCAAGTTTTGTCCGAAACTTGGTGCCGAACGCCTACTGAGAAAAAACAACTTCTGAGGGGGACTCGGTGTGAACTTTTAATGGCTTTAGTGCCATCTCCGTTCAACCCATGTATAGGGCCACATCGCCCACAAATCTTAGTTTCTTTTCAACTCACCTGTAAGCCCAATGTGAACTCGGGGGATTGCTTGAGCCTCAATTCGATTTCGTTCCACCAATAGGCAAGCCAAAACCTGCTCAATGAAGCGGGGGGAAACAGCACGTTTTTGGCTTAGCACCCCAATCCTTTGATAGAGTTCCCCGCCGACTCGAGCCCTGGCCTTAGTTGTATTGCACTACTTTGTTTTGTTTGTGAGTTTGCACTGCCGTCGGTTGGGGAGCTCTTTTCCTGCTGTGTAAAACCAAGCCTGGGGGGGGCGAAACCCCCCACCAGGAAATCCAAGCCAGCCAAGGACCGCGGCTGCGCGCTCACGTGGGGGGGAGGGGCTTGACCTGCCGCAAACCCCACGGCCCGTAGAGAGAGAAAGAGTGAGATAGAGGAGCCGCTCCTGTCATGGCTACACATAGTCACCGGGGGAGGTCAAACCGAGCCGTGACCAGTCCCCGAAATCCTTTCGAGTTGCAAGCTGTTGTTGACATATGCTGTGAACTAGCTGCTAAGGGACTGCACATGGTACGGGGGGACGTCACACAGCGCCACAAGACACCTCACCCGTACGTAGTGCTGGTACGTACGTAGACTCCCCGAAAGCCCCAACAACAGTTACGGGGGGCCCTATGGGCCGGGGAGCTTCGCACGCTCCCTTAACCTGAAGGAAGAAGTGAGAGAGAGAGAGAGAGAGAGAGAGAGAGAGAGAGAGAGAGTAGCCATTTTGGCTCAAGAGAGCGAGCGGTTCGAGCCCCCAGCCCGCAAATTGAGAGTCTAACTAGTGCAAACGGGGGAGAAACCGGGAACGCGCGACAGCGCCATCTCGAGAGATCTGAGCCATCGTCGTGCAGGGGGACTTCCTAGGACATTGCGTCTTCCCGCTGAGCGCCGTGCGCCAGGACATAGTCGAGTACAGTCCAGCAGGCAAACCTTGCCCCGACCCTTAGGGCCTTAGGGACTTTGACAAACCTCATCGTCTTCGCAATCGGCGACACTTCGCATCGCGACCTTCACTTACACGATTCCGCTGTTGCTCGCGGGGTCCTAAAGAATACGTACGTTGTGCAACGTGACACCTACGTCGAGTCCGAGAAGAATGCAATCTTCACACTCTGCTCCGTCGGGGGAAGTCGTTCCTCCTGCTCCTGGAGGCCCGCCACAGACGAGCCCCAAGCGAGCCCGAGAGGTGCTGGAGAATGCAGGGGAAGCCGAGCGAGGGAACACTCCCTTGACCCTCGCCCTGCTACAAGAGGCCCTGCAAGTCAACCAGCAGCAGATCACCGACAGCATCCAAGAATCCATTGCCGGCATCGGACACCGAGTGGCTCAAGTGGAAGCCAACATGGGGGAACATGTCAAACGAACCACAGAGCTTTTGGATGCCATGACAGACAGGCACGTTCACATAGAACAGTCAGTGAAGCGAGTGGCCTCGAGTCATGACTGCCAGGCGATTGGAACTTCTCGAAGGCAAATTTGCGACTGCCTCTTTCTCCACTACCAGTACGACGCGCACGGATGGGGGGACTGATGCCGCCCCGAGACCCGCCATTGTTGTGGGGGGATGGGACAACGACCAAAGCGGGGAAGAGACTCTTCGTCTTGTCAAACAACACCTGACCGACCTCCAATGTGATCTGGACCTCCAAGATGCCTTTGTGCCCGGCATCAGACGTGGATTCGCCATTGTGCCGATCCAGGCTCGCCGACAAGAAGACGTTCCGGACTTTCGGCGTCGAGTGCGAGAAGCCCTCCAACGAGTCCGCGAAGCCAAGATCATTACGGGGGAGAAACCCCAGGGAGGGGAACGACATCTGTGGGCAGCAATGAGTGAAAGCCCGGAACGGCGACGCCGAGCTCAATTTGCTGGCAAAGTCAAGCGCCTTGTGCTGGAGGAGGCGGGGGACAAAAGCCTGCTTGAGGTTGAGTTTGGGACCGGAAATGTTTGGTATGGAAGGGTCCGCATCGCATCTGCAGTGCTTACTGCTCCAGAAGAAGCAGACAAGGCCGGGGTCGGTTGGATTTCATTGCCAACCCTCGCAAGACAGATGGGGACGTCGCTGAGCTCGTTGACTGCCAAGTGGGACGAGCTCAAACAGGCCCTGAACTGAGATGGTGAAGCAGAGGTTTCTCACCCCCCGGATTCGGACACCCACCGGGGGAGCATGCAATTTTTGACCTGGAATGTTGGAGGGCTCACACCTGAAAGTGCCCTTCAGCTTCTCGGGGACCTTCGAAAAGAACGAATTCACCCCTTTGCCGAGCCCTTCGTCGCCCTCCTCCAAGAGGTGATTGTCGATGAGGGCAAGCTGAACTACGAGAAAGGCAACTTGCAGATGATCGCAGGCAAGCAGAAAAACGAGTGGCGAGGGACAGCGATTGTCCACACGGACGACTTCCAACACAGTCGAACGAAGCTGTTGCTAGCAGGTACTTGCTGTACCCTCCAATGCGGGGACCTACGCCTAGTTGTTGTTTCGGGGCACATGCCACACCATGCAACAATCCCAGAAGCAGCGGAGATCTTCCACACATGGGACAAGCAGCTCAGCAAAGAAGCCAAGGGTGTGCTGGGCATGGACGCCAACGAGACGTTCTGTGCTAGATGGGGGACGTCTATCATCTCCGACTCTGGGCGGGGTGAGATGATGCTCGAGTCCCTGGAGGCATTGAGTATGAAGTTCCCCGAGCAAGACATTTCGGCGCCTTCCTATTTCCCCTACAACCAGTTGATGCACCCCAGGCGATTGGACTACATCTGCACCCGCCGCCTCCTAGCGGAAGAAGGCAAGGTTCTGTCCTTCCGTGACCTGGGCAGAAGTGACCACGAACCGATCCTGGTGCCGATCCTCGCGAAGATCCCTGCGCCACCGCAGGGGACACCCAAAACCTGGGGGACACGCAGATTGAAGGGGCCACCGTGTTAGCGGAAACCATGACGAATTTTCGGCCTGGGAACTCCGACCCTGTAGCCCTGGTTGCCGAGATAGCTCGACAGATCACCACCCCGGGCAAGCAGATCGACGTCTTCCGCGAGAGCAAGGAGGTCAAAAATCTCCATCGATGTGTCCTTGCAATGGAGCCAGGGCCTGATCGCAAAAGAATGTGGAAGCAGCTGGCCAAGCAACGTCGAGATGAACATCGAGCATGGCAAAGCGAGAAGCTAGCCCAAGTCGGGAAGAAGCATTGGCAAGACAAACAGGCGGTGGACAATGAGAAGCATAACCAAGCATGGGAACTACGACTCCGCAGTGATGACAGATGGCGGGAAACCCTAACGAAACACTTCGGGGGGATTTTCCACAAGTCGGACAGCGCCATGGTTGACCTCCACTTTGCCATGATCCTTCATCGTATGGCAGGGCAATGCAAACTCGTCCGGTGGAGACCTTTCACCGAAGAGGACCTGAAAGCGGTGCGAAAACGGTGGAAAAACGGAAAGGCATGCGGCCCGGACAGTGTCTCGCACGAGGCGTTGAAGGTTCTGGAACAGGACGACTACTGGCGAGGCATCCTCCTGCACATGTTTAACGACATGCTGTATACGGCCAAGATCCCCGCTAGTATTGAGAACGGGGTCACCGTCCTTCTGGCTAAGACTCCCTCGCCGGGGGACTGGAGTGACACGAGACCCATCACGCTAAGTTCGACCCTGCTTCGTTCCTTCTCGCAGCTCATCATTGGTCGAGCCTCACATTGCGTACAGGGGGACTCCCGGCTTCAATGGGCGCGCAAAAGACGCCAGGGCGTTGAGCTCATCCTGGTCATCCGCCGCCTATGTCGTGTTGCTCACGACTGGGGACTAACGATGTTCCTTGCGAAGCTAGACATACGCAAGGCCTTCGACTCGATCTATCAGGAGGCGCTAGCGGAACAAATCGAGCAGGATGTGAGCATCAAGGGGGACATGCCGTGGGAGGGGCGCACATGGGTAGCCCTACTACACGCCAAAGAGATTGAGGTCGTCTTCCGGGGGGAGCATTTCCGCCTTCCACAATCCAATGGCGTGAGGCAAGGCTCCCCTGACAGCCCCATCGCCTTTGGGAGGATAGTAGCACTGGACCTTGAGCAATCCATCCGAGACTCCAAGCCCAGCAAACCCACGAGTGGGGAACCCCCGCCCGAAGATGGTGGCTGCTTTATGGACGACAGCTACCTCTGGTCCACTTCGGCCCGTCACCTCCAGATGATGTTGGACAAGATGGGAACCCACTTGCCGAAGAGGGGACTCGACATCCACCCAGTCAAGACCGAGATCGTGGACAACCAGGAAGGGGGGACTCCCTTCGAAGTGGGGGGAAAGACAGTCCATTCAAAAGGCCCTGAGCACATCATCAGAGTGCTGGGGAGCCCCGTGAGTTTTCGTGGCCAACCCTCCATGATAGTGGCGGAGATGCAGTCCCGAGCCAGAAAATCCTTCGCGAAGCACAAGGGGACTCTCTTATCCAATGCCTCTTTGAAGGGCAGACTCCAACTGCATACAGTGTTGGTGCGGCAGTCGGCATTATGGGCCTGCGAGACTTGGGGCTGCAGCGATTTCATTCTGAAGTGCGCAAACTTAACTCAGTTGAGTCAGGCTCGGAACATGCTGAAGCCTCCCCGTACGCCGGGGGAACCCTAGTGCGATTGGAACACCCGCACCCTGCGCAAGGCCAGGGGACTATTGCACCATCACGAAATCAGCAGATGGTCCACTTTTATCCTGGCCCAAGTGTGGGGGTTACATGGCCATGCAGCTCGTGGAGATGAGGTAGCCAAAGCTATGCTCAGTTGGCGAAACTTGCATTGGTGGCGAATCGAGCAGACAATCCCCCCCGCATGGGGGGGACAGAGGCATGCCAAAAGATTCAATCCGCACCTCGACGTCGAGAGGCAACTCGCGGCCGTTGCGGGGGAACAATGGCAACTCCTCGCTGCAGATCGCATAGCTTGGGCGGCCATGGAGGAGAAATTCGTGGAGAAGTACGACGTCCCATGGGCAAGCGGGGGACAAGCGTCCATTACAAATTTGGCACCGAACAAACCCGGGGAAGGCGGTCCGCCCCCCCGGAAAAGACAGCGAAGCAAGAAAGTTCGCTCAAGAGGACGTGGATGAAGCAAGGGGACTTTTCTCCCCTCCTTGCAGACGGCGTCTTTTTGCAGCAAGGGGAACAGCACTGTGCCCCTCGACCTTTTCGTTCACTGTTCGACACTTACAGAGTGAAGCGCCACAGCCGCTTACCACAGACACTGCAGGCCTTTCAAAAACAGTTTCGATGCTACAGAGTTTGCCTTCGGATGCGATTCGGATCTTGTACATGTCGCACATCCCGGACTATGCCATGTTGCAGTTCTGCCAGCTTTTGACGTTTTTTCGCATGCATGAACCTTGATGTTTTCAGTGAACAGGTGCAGAGCATGTCGGACAGTGTTTTCAAGTGCAGAGTCTCGACCTTGAGTGAGCCCTGACAGCGGAGGGATGAACAAGAACGCTCTTCGATCGCCCCGGGCTTACGGCTTCATGCTGCACGACACGACCCTGCACTACCTCACCCGACATGCCCTACTTGTACTACCCGACCCTGCACTACCACGTCTTACCGGTATAGTCGAGACTCTTTTGCAGCTAGAGATAGGAAGCAAACAACGCACTGCGGCAGCCGCATAGCCCCAGCATGCAGCAGCCCACGGTCACTCTATGGGCACTGGCAGTGCTTACCAGCACGGTGGGAATGAACCACCCAGGAGCACCCCCGGGCACACAACCAACCCTAAACCCTAAACCCTAAACCCTAAACCCTAAAAAACTAAACCCTAAACCCTAAACCCTAAACCCACGGGGTTTGCTGGGGTTGGGTCCATCCCCCGCCTGCTGTCCCCCCCATGCTGGCCGTTGTCGCTGCTGGTGGTGGAGGCTGCTGTAGCGGATCAGGGGTCGGCTGCTGCTGTTGCGATGGCTGCGGGGGGGGGGGTGTCCCCCTTGGCTTGTTGGCGCGGCTCCACGGCAGGTCCAAAGGCTTTCTGCCTTCCGCCCCGACCCAGTTCCAATGGCAAGCAACTCATCCTTGGATCAATGGAGCCTTCATTACTTCCTGGGGAGGCTTTGCATTAGCCCCCAACGCCATACCACAGGGCCAGTACAGCCTCCAGGCCAACACTGCACCCCCTTCCACAGCAACCCCCACAGCGGCCCCTCCCTCAACCAGCGATGCAGCACCAGCCCGGATTCCCCGAGCCTTACAACCCAGACACCGATCCCTGGCATGAAGATGATGAAGCCCTCCCCGAGCCAGGATACCCTGGCAAATTACCCGGTGGCCCCCAAATGCAAACGGCCGCTCGCAGTTCCAAACCCACTGGCCAATGGGACCCCAGCTGGGCAGATCCACCACCGTGGGCGATTACGCAAGAGGTCGCGGCTGACCTCATCGCCCAATCTGCCACCCACCAAGCCCAGCCATACATGCAGCACAACCAGCCTACCCCCAGCAAGCCAGAACCAGCTTCTCAGCACGCAGCCACGACACATCGTGATCACACAGACGACAACACCGAAACAGGGGCTGGCCAACCACAGCAGCCCTCCAGTGACCCACACCAGGCAGTCCAAGCAGCAGCCCCCCCCACACAGGAAGCAGCACCGGCCATGGACAACAACACTGGGGGAGCCGAACAAGCCCCAAACAACCAAGCCTCAGACCAGCCCACTTTTGACCAAGGTCAGCACACCAATCCCTCTAACGTCGAGCCACAAACACAACAGCCACCACAAGAACCCGTTCAAGAGACAGAGCAGCCCGAGTCGGGGAACACAGCAGGGTGGAGACAGCCGCGAACCGCGGGGACAAGCTCTAGCCGAAGGTCCGAAAGCACAGCCGGACACGGCTCACAACGGGTCCAAAACAAAGCCGGCAAGTATACGTACAAACAGCATAACAAGCGCGGCAATTGGCAGAGGCGCCCACCCCCTCAAAGCCAAGGGGGACCGGGGTGGGGGTTGCTTTACAGACCTCAGGTTCCCGACGACACAGCGACCGCAGCAACAGCACCCAGCAGCAGCAGCAGCACACCACAGCTGGAGCGGGGAACAAAAGCCTACAACGAGGCCAGGGAGCGCTTTGCTAGCCTCCTCAACAAACACCTACTGCCTCGCGACACCCCTACAGGCGGGGGACCGGCCCCGACACAGCAAAGCAGCGACGTCGCCGCTGACCCAAGCCCAGAGACCTGCCAGACTACCGAAGCAACTGCCGCACACAACACCCAAGGCGCATCGAGCACTGGCCACTGGCAGCCCTCCTCGACCGCAGCACAGGCGGAACCACACACAACAGCAGGGGCTGAGGAGGACACCAACTGCGACGGCACCACGTACACTGCAGAGGAGAGAGCCATACAAGCAGAATGGGCAGCAAACCAAGAAGGCACTTTCTGGTCACAGATGGAACACACTTGGCAAGATGGGGACGACATCCCACCAGATGTGCCTCTTTCCTCCCACTCCCATGCCGACATGACACAACTGACGCATGGATGCTGGCGGCTGGAAGTTCGCCCCGACAAGGGGACAAATATTCGCCGCATTGCGGGTCTACCTCGCACCGTCATCGAGGGTGATGAGGGGGACACTCTTTCAGCACCACCCTTCCCCATAGGCCTCGAAGCCATCATGGCACCAATGACACCACACCACTGGCTACTAACAGTCCAGACCACACCAGCCCTCTCTTCCTACGAAGGGGGAGCCATGCTACTTACAGCAGGGGACCGGATCCTTTTTGAACGTGACCCGGTGACCATGATTTGGCAGATACGCATTGAAGTCCAGAGCAAAGACTGCCACCCCACAGTCACCAAGATGCGGCAGCGGCGAGAGGACGAACAACAGCGTCAGCAGGACCAGGCGGGGACACGACCAGCAGCACAAGCATCACAAGCAGCAGCGTCA